CAGGAGCAGTGTAGTTGGCCCTCTGTATCTGCCAGCTACACTTTTGTGGATTCAATGTTTGAAAATAAAAATCATGTTTCTGCTGAATGTGTTTCCCCCTTATCACTGTTCCTTTAAGAACACAGTTTAACCTCTATTGACATGGCATTGCTTCCTTGTACAGGGTGTTAGAAGCTCTCTGGAGACGATCATAAGCACACAGGAGGACGTGATAGGTGCAGGTCACACGTGGCAACTATTCCATGTGACACACAGGATTCATCTGGATCTGTGTGCAGTCCAGGAGGCACTTTCTGCACACAGGCAGGGACCCTGCCTTCACGCCTTTACCAGATCCTTGTGCCTTTTGCTTCACGCCTGGCTTTTCTCAGCAATTCTCTTCTTGGTCCTTAGACGGTTACTCAGACCACTGCCAAACCCATGGTGGATTAAGACGCATGCTCACAAATTAGAAGGCAGCAAATTCTTTCCACAAATCGGGAATACATGGGAAAGCCGAGTTCCATTTTACCATTAAGAGAGCAGAAGTTACAAGAATGGAGGCCACCTGCCCGAGATGAAACTGGCAGTCACCGTCCACAGGACACTGCACATGTCGGGAAGGGAGTGATCTGTGCAAGTCCAAACAGATGCCTGAGAAGGTGCAGCCTGGAGAGGTGCAGCTGCAGGCAGCTCCGAGGCTGACGGGGCCGGAGTGCAGGCACAGTACCAGCAGGATGCCCGCTGTCCACAGCTCTGTGGCATCCAGAGGCACCCGAGTAACTTCACAGGCTCCTCCTTCCTTTACAAGACAGGGATTATAAGTGTTCTTTACAGCTGGACACGCCTTATTCACCGTGACACACCTAAGGAACCAGGGCGGGTCTGAAACCCAAGCCCTGGAATAACTGGCTGGGAACTCAGCAAAGCCTCAGCTCCGTCATCACTGAACAGGAACTCCTCCTCCCTTCGGGTAAAACAGAGCAAACCACACCCCAGCAGCACAACTATTCAAGGGAGCTAGCAAGAAGACACTGAAGAACCTCTATGGCCACAGCACACATTCTAACACCTGGAGAAATTACCCAGGGCAGCGGGGCTCTGGGGCCAGGCAGGTCTTCCAGGATGTCACGGAGCCACGGCACTGCCCTCTGCCACTAGCTCACTGACAGCATTTTACTTCCAGACCTCTATATCTGCACTCTAAAATGCCTTCCGTTTTAAAGGGGGCTACTGGGGAAATGTTTGCAATTACACTTCAACAAACTTCTGCGTTCCTGCTATTTCAAGAGACACCATGGAAAGACCAGTGAGGAAGAAGCGGGGTGGGGTCCAAACTCCAGGACTGTCGGGGCAGAAGCAGAAACCCAGCTGGCAGAGAGTAGCAGCAATTCAGATGCAGGCAATTCAAGCTGGGTGGAGTCCCTGCTGCCTCTTACTCTCCCAGGCACACCAGCTGCACTCAGATACAATTCACCCCTCCCGACTCCTGCGTATCCTAAGTGCCGCCTGAAAGAAAAAAACTAGCAAGTTGAGATAGAAAATATAGCCCTTACCCAAAAAGGTCAAGTTCAGAAAGCAGTTCCACGTGGTTTTCAAAAACCCAGAGAGAAGCAAGCTCCTGCCACATCACCGCATTCACCATCTCTCTTCTCATCCCTGTCTGAAACCGGGCGCCACAGAAATGGACACTGTTCATCTCTGATAACGGGCACCAGCACGACACCTGTGCCTCCCAGTCCGCAGGTCAGAACTTACACAGTGGAGCTGTGGTCGTCGGCTGACAGGCCAGCGAGGCAGAAGCACCCGGACACAAAGGAACCCATTGGAACACGTGTAACTCTAAGTCTCTAATTATCCTTTCTAATTTGGGAGCCATGTGACCGGCCTTCACACAGCACCGCCGAGCTCCTGTCAGCCCTCTGTGGCTGGACCACAACGAGGGTGGGGGGAGAGGCTCCTCTGGACTCGTCCCTTTCAGTCCAGGGGCTGCATCCCCCGGGTTACTGCTGCCGCCTGCTGACGGCGGCGCCCTGGCAGCCTCAGCCAGCGCACCTGCGGGAAGAAACACTTCCAGTGCATGTTGACCCTGGCATTTTTAAGAGGCTTTTCTACCTTCCAAAGAGTGACCTACTTCCTATCACAAAGACTCTTAATATTTTATGAACAGCGAGACCAGAATTTTTTTTTTAATGTCCTTCCCAACCTGGTCCTAGAATAGTGCAGATTTATAATATTTTTCCCTGACTCTGGGCGGGGGCAACAAGGAGAAGCTAACTTCCTCCGGCCACCCAGCGGAGATGGGGAGGTGATCCCAACTTGTCAAAGCTCCACTGGACCCCGATCACCTCCGCCTCTCTAAAGAAGCAATGCAGCGGAACAAGCTCGTCTTGCGCCCACATAAATCACTGTCCAGTACTGCCCTGGGGACAAGCCTTAGTGACCACGCGCAGCAGCTGCTGAGAACACGACTGGGCATGGAAATACACACAGACAACGCCAGAACACACACATCTGTGTCCGCCTAGACAATATCCAGTCATGTTCTCGGCTCTATCGCAGTGCCATTTGGGTAAGTGAGGTGAGGGTCCAGTATGGTGCCACTCAGTGACGGCATGGGCTCTGGGGGGCCTGACCTCCTGGTTCAAGTGCCAGCTGTGCCACCTCCCCTCTGTGAGACCTCAGGCGACTTACCTAGGCACCCTGGGTCTCGGTGTCCTTTCCTCCTCCTAGCTTAACAGGTGAATCAAGGACCATGTGTTCACCAGACAAATCATACACAGGGGCTCTACGGAACATCAAGTTTGATGACTAGTTCACCTTACACACAGTAAACTCAAAGCCTCACCAGGGATGGGCTTATCCCCTTGGTCCGTATCTACCAAGGAGCGCAGAAGCAGAAGCAGGAAGCGCTCCTGGGTGCTACCCTGCCCTGTGCTCGGTGCCTGGCACAGGGGCCCCAGCCCAGCCCAGCCAACTACCAGGAGAAGCCAGTGAACTGAGAAGGAATGCTAGACGCGTATGCTAGCGTGATCAGCCACTAGGGAACCATGTGCCACACTCCTAAACCGGAACACAGACTGTGCAGTAAAATGAGGTCAGCTAAGGCCTCTCTCAACCTGGAGGGGGCCATCATTCCCCAGCCTGTAACACTGACACAACCGTTCTGCGGCTGCAGCTTCTTTACTCCTTTCTGCACCAGAAAGGCACAAGAGGACAAAGACAACCATCCACATTTCCCTCAGTGACTTCACAATTTCAGAGAATCACTAACTGCTCTTAACTTTTTGGTTAGCCCTGATGAACCAGACAGACATCTCAAAACAAAGAAACCACTTAGCATCTTACGCCGATGCAAAGAACACCCACTCGGTGGTGGCACTAGAGGGACAGGGACAGCCACCGGTCAGGAATCCCGAGGCAGGGGTTTAGGGAAGCACAGAGCTGGGCAAGAACCTGGATGGGCTCATCTTGAAGACACGGAAGTTTCAGCTTCTATGGTGGGGCCAGATCTTCTTGTTTGACTATGCAGGGGGTACAACTGACACTTGATCTTGAGACTTCCTAAATTTGAGAAGCTAAAATGCAACAGCCCACACCAGAGCCCTCTTACTGACTTAACACTAACAGCTGTTGGCCCAAATGATGACAAGTTCCAGTCTAGCCATGCAGGCTGTGCATCTCATAAGCCTTTCACCTGTCCCGGCTTGCTGATGGTCACCTGTTCTCTTTATTCACAAATCCTCCCCGCGGCTTCTGCAGCCCCAACTGTCAGAATGATGTTTGGTCTATCACAGAAACAGCTGCCATCCATCCTGGAAAGCTGGGCAGGAATTCCAGGGAAATGAACTGCATGGCAGCACCATGGCACTTCCCCACGAAAGAGATGATTGCAAAGGAAAAGGAGTGGAATGACCCCTTCAAATGTGGGAGTCCCCTCCGCCCCAACTCAGGGCACAGCAGCCCTTTCAGGCACCCACACTCTCAGGGACGACACCCCCTCCTCAGTCCCAGTTAGACACACAGGAAGTCTAACGGGGAGCTTCTAAGCCAAGCGTTCTGCTCCATTAGCTGCAGCCCCTCAGTTGTCAAAGGCACTGGGCTGAGACCTTTTTTAACCCTTCAAGTCTCACACGGTGCAAATAAATCAGATCATTTCAGAGAGAATATACATCACTTGGCCAAGAATCCAGACCACGAGGCTGTTGCCTTCTGTCCCTGGCATCACTTTGCTAGGATCCCGTGAGGCCAGCAACAACACGTCCATCTCACACGGACACACAGCCACGGCGTCAGGACACATCAGTCCTGAGTTTGACACTCAATGGAAATGCTTAACACAGACTGCTCAAACAGAGACATTCACCGGAAACCAATCAAGTGAATACTGACATTTTTTTAAAGGCATTGACTTTTTTTTAATTCAACTTTAATGACCAGAATGACTTAAATATTAGAGCAGAGAGAGAGAGAGAGAGAGTATTTAAAGGTTTGACCAACGTATTAGCCAGGTCATGCCATTGTGCAATCCGATTTCTCCTGCACAGTCTGAAAAACAAAAAGCCAGACGAAACAGGACCTCAGAGACCAGCGGCTGAACGAGACTCTGGCAACCCTCTGATCCAACGCCCTCAAGGTACAAGGAAGGAAGGGACCCGTGACCAAGCCAGGGCAGGAGCGGCGCTGAGCGCCCCCTGTTCTTCCCGCAGCCCCGTGGTACTGCCATGAAAGCTGTGTCATCGGCGCTAACACCTACTCCTCACCCACCAGGATCCATTCTGCTTCCAATTCCCATATGGAACCTAAGACAGAGCCCGGAATAGAAAGACCACATGTGGCACAAGGCTGGGCTGCAGCCCGCCTGCCCCTAACGCCCAAGCGGCTTTCCACTGACATGGCTTGCTTAGAGCCGCGTGAAGCAGTCAAATGCTTTTTCACCATGTAGTTCACACACAGGTTTTCCGAAGACAGAATGCCGCCAGAACAACCAGCATGAAGCCGGTGAGAAGAAAACCATTTACCTTCGCCAGAAAGCCAGCCCTGGGGTGCCGTCCAGCGAGCCACAGTCGCTGCTGTCACTCAGTCCGTCGGCTGAGCCGCCAGGAGGACCCATCATGATTCCGCCATCCGCAGAGACGCTCAGGACATCCTGGGGTCCCCCTGCCGAGGTCCTTTCCAAAAACTGGCCGCCCTCTTTGATGCGCTGCTGTATCATCGGCGTGAGGGGCATTTCGAAGCTGAAGTAGCTATCGGGCTCCGAGTACAAGGTCTCCAGGGACTCTGCACTGTAGTACAGAGAAGTGTTGTCCAGGATGGTTTCAAACTGGGAGCTGTACACATCCGTGGAATCCTCTGTATAGCCAAGCCCAAGGACATCATCGTCTCCCCCGACCGCGTGCTCCTCTTGGTCAAGGATCCTGGAGAATTAAGAGTGGAGAACTTCAATATTACGTTATCCATTTCTTCTTATTTTTTATCCTTCAGTCCTATAAAAAATATAACATTTTGTAGCTCTAATTCTTATATTCATTGAGGTGATGTCTTCGTAACACTTGGAAAACATAAAACATACTCAGTTTGAAAAACTCTTAGGATACATGTGCTATGAAACTATAAACAAAGTTTTATACTAGAATCCTAGTCTGTGAATATCTCTAGTCCGTTAAGTATTTGAATTTTAAAAGTCCCAGGTAGGCAATTCTGCTCCAAGAATTCAAATTATTTACTGTTACCATCATCCTTAATTATAAAAGAGGCAAGCATGTCATGTGACCTCGATACAGGAAACTTCCAGTAAAAATGCACGAAACTTTCGTCAGTCTATTAATAATTTCTGACTAAAGTTAAATCAAACGTCCTCAGGAGGGTGACTTTATTTGGATCCAGGTCTGCCCTCTGCTGACCACAAGGCAGAACTGCAGAAAGGTTTCAGGTCCAAAATAAGACCACAATGACTGACTTAAGGGAGAAAAAAATAAAAAGGCCAAGACATGTATATTGCAAGACTATGAGAACCAGTAACAACTTAAAAAGTTAACATACAGGAGCCAGGCACTAATTTTGACACAAAAACGTGAAGACAGCATTGTATGGTTAGTCTACAATCACGGGCCTAAGAGGAGGCTTGCCTTCCCTTTATGCTGGTAGATTTCAGAAATACAGGGAAAGTTGGTAAGATAATATAAGCTGACAAGTTTACTGACAAATCTGGAACTTTCTGGAAGAAGGGATTCATATCTGAGTCCCGTGGAATACTAGAATTACAGTCAGCTACGGATGTTCTGAGAGAGCCTAAGGGACAACTTCACAACAGCACCTCGATATCTTAACAAGTTGGAAGGACCCTGAGAAGCGTCTCGCTTATGGCAAGCTCTGGATCATTCTAGGCTAGGCAGGATCTAGCAGACAGCAGGTGGTCCCCAAAGCTCACCTTTCCTTGTCTCTCTCAGGTTCAGGTGCCTTCTCCAGAGGGTGCTTGTTCTCCTTCAGGAAGACTTCATCCTCTTCACTCTCTACAAGAGGCACGGGGGAGAAGGTCCCCGAGCTCGTGGTGCCAGGTCTCTCTGCAGGAGTTCGCCAGGATCCGTTCCAGTCACGCTCACTCAGGCCGGTGGAGCTGCGCAGAGCAGCAGACGGGGCGAGACGGCTGGGCCCTTTGGCAAGCGTTCTGCCTTCAAGAGATGCTCTCCTTTCCACGGATGTCTCTGAATCAATAGGGTGCCTGCTCTCTCTCCCCTCCCCTGTCCACAGAATCTCTACGCCTTGAAATTCCACGTGTTTGGTCCGGTCTGGGCGTCCTGTGGAGCCCCCATGATCACGTCTCCCAGGATGCTCTCTCCTGATATCAGACTTTGGTCCATTTGAAAAACCACCACTGTGGCCAGAACCGTGGGTCCCCGTGGGTCCCAAACAGGGCGCAGAGCAAGCTGGCTCCTGTGCACAGAGAGCACCCTTCCTCCTACTGTTGCTTGTCAGGGAAATCGCAGCCTGAGTTTCTCCAGTTAACAGGGCAGCCAGGTCTTTCTCGATGTCCAAATAGAAATTTTCCTCGGCTGCTTCTTCGGCTGGGAGAGGTATATGTTGTGTGCTTTCCTGGCCTGCAGGAAAGGGCTTGCAGGCTCTCGAAGCTTTATGGCTGCCTCTGTCCAGCTCCTTCTCCACCTGCTGGATGGAAGGGCTAGAAACCGCATCACTGTCCAGGACCTTTGTAGCCTGGAATGTTTCTGAAACTATTCTGGCTTCTGTGGCTTTCAGAGCTGAAATCAAAGAGTCAATGGGCTGTAAACTTTGTTCCTTGAGGGGACTTGGAGAACAGGTCACTCTGACATCCTCTGGTCCAGTAACACTGTCGGGCCCAGCATGGGGGCCGGCAAGTCGCTGGGCACCCTGCTGGCCCCGGGGGCAGCATGGTAGAGAGTCTGCATCCAGGGAGGCCTTCAGGCCCTCACCGCCTTCCTCCATGGTCCCATATTCCGGAAATTCATTTGTGACATTCGGTGGGAGTAAAGTGCTTCCTCCACGATCACCTGGGAAGAGAGCAGAACAGACACGTGGCTTGTTTTGGACCAGAAGGACCCAGTGTGTGTCAGTAAAAATCATAAACGTGAGACACTCAGGAATACGTACTCAATTCCTTCCTCCCACCACCCCACGACATGTACTTGTCACAGTCTTGCAGGGACCCCTTCCACCGAGCCCACTGGAGTGTGACCATCACAGCGACAGCAGAGGAAGCTACCTGTGACACATGCCATGCTTGCACTGCCTCTGACATGGTCTCAGCCACTGGCATGCAGCCACTGTGCCGTGCTGTGTGCAAAACAAGATTGAAAGGAGGATGCATATCCCATTCCAGATAGCATTAATTTCCAAAATAGCGCCTCAAAGAGTGATATAGGGCCTCACACCAGATAGTCTGATGACCTAGCCAATAATATCTGTGCAGTGCGATCTCTAGGTCAGAATCTTAGGGGAAAAAAATTTATAAAGAGAGAAAAAGAGCGAGCGAGCGAGAGATGATCTATTTAAAGTCATGAAGTATCCTCTTCAATCAGAAGTCTTCACTGTTAGTATATGTGGAAACAATAATGCTTTCCAAACACTCTTCGAGAATGTTCGTGAAGCTAAAATGAAACAGAAAAGTTCATAATTTCAGAAAAATTTCCAGGACCCCAACTCTACAAAAAATTATGTTCTCATTTTATTCATTTGTTTGGCAAATAAAAGATACAATGTGAATATACATATATAGTTTCTAGTGTGCGACATAATATTCTGATATATGTATACGTTTTATAGACTGGCTGAATGAAGACAACTGACATATTTCCTATATCGGATGCTTGTTTTTTTACAATGGAACACTGAAGACCTGCTCTGGCAGCAATTTGCAAGTGTACAATACTCTGCTATCAACTACAAGGACAGTTATCCTGTTACACAGTAGATCTCCTGAGTTTATTCCTTGCCTAACTGAAATTGTGTGCCTTTCAATCAACTTTTCCCGAAACTGCACCCCCCTATTCCTGACAAGCACCATCTATTCTCTTATTACTTTTCCTAAATGCTATTTATTTTTATCTACTTGAAAGAGAGAAAGACAAAGGGTGGCGTGTGCATGGCAGCCAGGAACTTCATCCAGGTCTCCCATAAGGGAGGTAGGGACTCGGGCCGTCTTCCACTGTCTGTCTACATGCATTAACACGAGACGGAATCATAAGCCGCGTGCACGGGACTTGAACCGGCACTCCAAGATGTGATGTGGACGGCCCAAGCAGCTGGCTCACCTCTGCAGCACAACACACCTTTCCTCCAGTGCTGCTGTTAGGAGCGCGAGTCTTCTTTGTTTTTTTGGTTTTGTCTTGCTTCGTTTTGTTTTTTAAGGCTCCACGTTTAAGTGACGTCACATTCACAAAAGGTCAATGGCATTTGACACAGAATCCCGGTACAGCAAGGACAGGAACACACTACTGAATTAGCAAGTATTCTTACTGCAATATATGCACCATAATGTATCAGATATGCAACATTTTCCTATGAAAATGAGTCACTAAGAATTGAAAACGGGCACATTCTGATGGAGCAAAAAAAAAAAAACACTGAAACTGGAGATCCATGGCTAAGAGCTGAAGTTATATTTATGGCAGCCAAACATCCAGTCTCCTGCAGGACACAGTTCTGGGTTTCTTTGTATCAAGAAAATCGTCTGCTCCAAAAAATACAGCGTGTTCATTTTCACTTTAAGAGGACATTTGCTATTTTTAACTCACCACAGAAGTACAACCTTCCTGTGCAGTACAATATTTGATCAATGTCTGAACATATACTCTGAACTGGCACGAAAGACTTAACTCCAAGGCATGCATCAAATATGGCAATTTGGAGACAGCAGTTCACACACAGTATCCCATATTGTGTTAAAAAAAATTTAATAAACAGTAAGGCATCTGAAACTATGTTGTTTCATAATTCGTTTTTTAAAAATTTGAATGTTTTTAACACTGAATTTGAATCCAGTATTGATGAAATCTAAGCTGTTCTTGTAATAGCAATGTTTGCAATACCTTCACAAGAAACAAGATACAAGGTGGCTGCAAAAAGTTGATGGGGGAGGCGGTTCACAGAGTCTTTTAATCTCACTTTTCTGTGATTATTTGAAGCTGTTTCTCAAACCATGCTGAAATCTAAAGAGGAAGCGACCTGCAAACCCTGGGTTTGAAAAGGATAACTGCTAAAAACGAGAGACCCTTTTTGCTAAAGTGGCACACTGACTGAACAAGCAAGCAACTCAATAGGACGTTTCCATTTTCTCCCTTCTGTGATCCAAAGCTTTTTAGAATATTCACAAGTTGTGCAACCCTCACTACTACCTAATCCTAGAACGTTTACACTGCCTGCCCACTGCCCTGTCAGCGCCATCCGTCTCCACGGATACGAACATCCCGCACATTTCCTGCAAATGCAATCATCCAACATGTGACATTCAATCATGCTTCCTCTGCTTAGTGTCACGTTTTCAAGGCTTACTTCTGCCCATGGCATGTGTGAAAACTGCATTTCATGTCACCAAATAATCCTTCATTGCATAGGAATAGCACATTTTCTTTTTATCTGCTCATCAGTTGATGGATATCAGGCTTGTTTCCACTTCTCGGCTACTAGGAATACCAAGTTTGCATACGAGTTTCAACATCTAAACACAACCTCAACACCCTCAAGAGCAGAATTTCCGAGTCCTATGCTGGATGTCAATTTCCAGTTTTAAGGAACTGTCATGTGAGGACGCGACTGTCATCACGTCGATTATTACAGACGTTTTTAGGAGTCTGAGGTGGCAGCTCACTGTGGCTTTGATTTGCATGTCCCTAAGAACCAAGGATGTTGAGTGTGTGTTTCCTGGCCATGTGTGGATCTTCACAGACGCCCTGACCAATCTATCACTGGCCTATTTGCCATGCTGTTGCTGAGGGGTGAGAGTTATTTACATTTGTAGATGGAAGGTTTTTTCTGATCAGCTATGTACTCTGCACATATTTTCTCCCATTACGTGAGCTGTCTTTAATTGATGAAATCTATTGCAAATCAAAAGTTTTAAATTTTGATAACATTAAATAATAGTAAATACAAATAATCCACTTTCTCCTTTGTTGCCGGTGCCTGTACTGTCATCCTTAGAATCACAAATATTCATTCTTATTGTGTTTTCTCCTATAGGTTTTTAGTGCTGGTTCCGTTTACATTTGAGGCGGCGTCATTCTTTTATAGAAGTTTATTTCTGGACATGCAATCTATTCCACTGAGCCAGGTATCCACCTTTGTAGCAGCCTAATACTTTTAGTAGCTGCACTAAGGTCTACCAGTGTGAGTGCTACCACACTGCTCCTTTGCTAGGTCGTCTGGGCCGCTCTGGGCTCTTTGCACTGCTCAGTTGCAACTTACGATCAACCTGTCGGAGGGCTGAGACTTTGACGGGGACCACGATGAAACTACAGAGCAATGGTTTCTTCACAACGCTGCCTCATTAGATCTTCGGACGCATGGTCATGGGCTGCCTTTCCATGTATGCCATCTTCTCCTATCTCTTTCGAGTGTGTTTCGCAGGGTTTCTTTTTTATTTTATTTTATCTGAAAGATCTCCCATTCTCTGCTTCATTCCATAAATGGTAGCAGAGAGGCTGAGTCAGGGCGAAGTTAGGACTCAACCCAGGCCTTGAGTGTGAAAGACTGAAGCCCTGGAGCTCCATGCGCTGCCTCTCAGAGTGCACAACAGCAGCAAACCGGCATCAGGCAGGAACCGGAGGACCAGAGGACAGCTGCCACCTGTGGTAGCAGGTAAACCAGCACCCATGACGCTCGTGCCACCCATGGGTGCTGCTTCCTGCCCTAACCACTCCATTCCCACTCCGGCTTGTTGTTGCTGACCTGGGAAAAGCAGTGCGAGATGACCTACGTGTTTGGGACCATGCTGCCCCTACAGAAGACCCAGACGAAGTTCCTGCTTCTGGCCTGACACAGTACCAGCCACTGCAGCCACCTGGGAAGTGAACCAGTAGATGGAGGGTCTTTTTTTCTTTCCCTCCCTCTTTCTTCGTAACTTTCTTCGAAACTTCTTTTTAAATCTTTTTAAAAACCGGGAGCCAGTGTTGTAGCATAGCAAATAAAACCACCAGCTATAGCACTGGCATCCCATAGGTGCCTCGATTGGAGTCCCGGCTGCTCCACTTCTAATGCGCCTAGAAAAGCAGTAGGGCACAGCCCAAGTGTTTAGGCATCTTTACCATTTTTTGAACATCCCTCAGAGAAAGAACATGCCTCAGCTTTGGACAAACACACAGGATCTCTCAAAGGAGCAGCTCGGCCACTGGCCACAGCAGTGACATCAGCTGAAGTGCAGGACACTTATTGCTCCTCTCATGAGAGGCCTATGACACTGGATGCTATATACGAGTGCCAGCACAAGTCTCGACGCTCCACTTCACCCGTTCCCTGCTCAGCTGCTTGGGAACACGGTGAAGGATGACCCACACGCCCCTGTTAGAGAAGCGGATGAAGCTCCTGGCTCCTGGCTTCAGCCTGGCCATCTGAGGAATGAACCAGCCCATGAAGATCTGTCTGTCACCCTCCCTTCCCCCTGTGATTCTGCCTCGCTAATCCATCTTAACAACAGCAAGAACAAAAGTATACCCAAGTGCGTGTGTGTCTGGGGGGGTGTATCTTATCTATTTAAGAAGTATTCAGGAGGGCCCGGCGCAGTGGCCTAGCAGCTAAAGCCCTCTACTTGAAAGCACCGGAATCCCATATGGCCGCCGGTTCTAATCCCAGCAGCTCCACTTCCCATCCAGCTCCCTGCTTGTGGCCTGGGAAAGCAGTCAAGGACGGCTCAAAGCTTTGGGACCCTGTACCCATGTGGGAGACCTGGAAGAGGCTTCTGGCATCGGATCAGCTCAGCGCCAACTGTTGTGGTCACTGGGGGGAGTGAATCATCGGATGGAAGATCTTCCTCTCTGTCTCTCCTCCTCTCTGTCTC